AGTCTGTGTTGTAACCATTACATAGTGACCATCCTCGTATGCTGATCCTGGTAAGAGTGATCCCTCCAAAACCTAATTTTCGTAGTTTTCAAGCAGTCTTACACAGCAGCACTACCGACACTCCCATTCTTAGCCATCTTGAGCAAGTAGCTGGACAAAGTTGGTGATTGAAACTAGGAGATCTCGCACCCAAAGCGAGAATCTTTTTCTTAGACTACTCGGACGAGGCATTTTTTCTGGTACATCATGGAAATTATCTTTTCGAAATCTCTTTTATTGTGAACCTGTAGAAGCCAGTATTATTCAAATATCGAAGTCCGGAACCCCTGGGGAGGGCACTGCTTGACTGGACCATATTAGACACCTCACCAGTTGAACATTTGCAAGATCAAATGCTCCCCAGTTCGGCGAATTTATCCCTGATTCCAGGAATTACCATAGGGGAACAAGAGTTGTTCGAGGGTTGGAAAAACATTCCATGAACATTGACTGCTTTTAGTTGAACTTGTATGGGCTGTTGGAGTATCACCATGACGCCAAGCAGATGTGAAATGCGTGGTGCATCCTGAAAATGGGCCTCTCGATTGTGGCAGTTGTGGTGTGACCGATACCTGCTGTTCATATTCGTACCTGGGTTCTGAAAAATCCCCTCGAAGCGCCGTTCATGAGTTCTCAACAATCCTTCAAAGTAGTCATCTTTAAAATCTCATTTTCTTTGTCCCCATAAACTTTTACATGGCACTCCCACAGACACTGTCAATCTCTGCCATCTCGAGCAAAATGTTGGGCCGAGCCGGTGATCGAAACCGGGACCTCTCGCACCCAAAGCGAGAATCATACCACTAGACCACTCGGCCGCGGGTTATCCATTTAGACACGATAAAGAGGTGATCCGGTTTGAGACATCATAGACGTTTACCGTGGATAACCTGTTCCTCTTAGATTGGGAATGAATGTGGCGACTGTGCTGGCTAAATTATTGCTATAACGAGTTGTCTAGTGCTGTGTAATTACTCGGCAACGATGTATCTACTAACGAACTACACCAAGAAAGAGTGAGACCGTTTGTCGCATTTGTCCTCAGTGTGTCGTAGTTCTGCCTCAGAGAAGAGGGATCGCTATTGCCTGCACGGCTTCGATCGGACCATTTCTATCATTTGATAGAACTTGCCTTTCGTAGACTTAGGCTCGGGCTTAGTTTAAAGCCAACCAAATGGTACTATATGTCCGAGGATTTGCACCTTCGCACTTTCGGAAGGACCAAGTTCAAACAACTAACTCAAACAGGAGCCAAGCGTCATGAATTTTTTATGGTATTTGCACTCGGAACTGTTTGCAGGGTAGGGCAAGGCGTTGTCAAATAAACTGTGTTAGGAAAGTTCCCCTAAATTTTACCCTGATTGTGAGATGATCTTCCACCCTCATCCTATACTTCCTGAAAGCTACAATCAGTGATCATATGTGGGAGCTGGAGCGAGGAATCCCTTGAAAATCATAATATTGTTAAATTAAGAGTGAATTCAATCCACGGGCCACCTTGTTCGTAGAGCAACCCCTTCTCAGAGTTACTATACATCTCTACAAATGAGTATGGATCTCTCAGTTCATTACCTACACCTACCTCCTGTATAGATTATAATTTGAACACATCAACGATTTTGAGAGGTAGTTAAATGCGCGGCGCATTCTTACGGAAACGATTATCCATCAATTAATCCTACTAATGACTTGACACGTTGACGACGAGCCAATTTTCTCTTGTCTGCCCCGTGGGACGAGACGGTTTCTTGCTTGGAAATTTGTTATGTCTCAAAAAATGAGTGATTACAGTCAAAAACATTTGAAAACAAAGTGTACGAGAGGATATTCTGTAAACCCTCCAGCAATATTCAAATTTTGCCTAAAATTTGTGATTACTCGGGGTAACTTCAAATTTGGCAATGATATATTTGAATTGGGGGTATATAAATGGGATCTCTGAGCGTTCTATTATCCTTGCGACTATTCTTGTCAACATGAGTATCCTGGATATCGAAATGGAAGAGTTCAAAGAAAGTTTTGACATTTGCTCGACAGCGACTATGATGCTGTAGGTGGTTTAGATGGCGACGATATAGCTCCTGCGGTTGTTCCTGACACTGATGATTCTGACACTAAAATCTCATATGACTACTATGGAGGGGCAGAGAACATTTGGGTGAACGATGCTCAAAGGTATGATAGAAGGACCTTTTCGGAGACTGTGGGAACCTATCCAAAGGTGGATAACTGCGACACGCCTCTCCAATTTCATGAGCTGTTTCATGGGGGAAGACTAAGGAAAGACGATTTTGCTCCGACTGCTATAGTTCGATCTCTGCAACATCAGGCAGGTCGACCGCGAGGAGCCCGGCCAAGAGGACTAAGTCAAAATGCAGTGAATATAATAAATTTTGTTGCCTAGATTGTTTCCAAACAATTCATGATTGTTAGTTGCTAATTAAAATGAAATATTGGTCTTGAAGTTAATTTAAGAGGTGAGGTGGTCGGTGCTGTTTCAGACACTTATATACCTAAATTGAAAATCTGCACAAAACACATTTTGACTGAAGAATGCACCGTCACGCAGCATTGCGCGACATTGTCGCCAACGTGTTGATCTTTATAAAGAGCTCCTTATAAAACTGGTGATCAGCTTGGCTCTACTGCTCGGCCTTTTGTGGCCTCTTGAAGCCAATATTATTTTTTTTCATTTTTTCCAAGGTGTGCTCCAAAAGCGGTACTATCTATCTGATTGACTGAAACATTTTATCGATCCGGTGATCGAAGCCGGAACCTCTCGCACCAAGACGAGAATCATACCACTATATTACTCGGCCACAGTCTTGCAAACTGATTGCAAGTTGGAAATATGGCATATTCTAAAACTGCCGAACGTCCTCCACTTCATCATTTGTCTGTACGTGACTTTCACAGAAAAGTTGTGCTCGCCTTGTTGGTTGATTTACGCTACATTTGATTTGTTTCACCCTTTGAAGCTGTTGTTCCCAGCGATAGTTCTATACTATTTCAGTTATTTAAAAAAAAAATTTTAAGGTTCCATGCCCTTTTTCCGTCATTGTGGTGTACTTATCCTCCATGGTATGTTATGCAAAAGTTGGGCCGAGCCGGTGATCGAAACCGGGACCTCTCGCACCCAAAGCGAGAATCATACCACTAGACCACTCGGCCACGATCTTCCCTTCCCAGCGATGCAAAGAATTGATCAGCTAGAAAGTCTCGAGTCAGCAAGCCTTCGCGAACCGGATTTTTGTACTTTGACTTGGAAGGTATCCTTGAGGAAGGAGATGGTTGATTGGCTATCCTGGCCACGAGAGTTGATCCATTGAAGTCTTCGGACTAGTTTGTACTTTTTATATTTTAGTCGGTTTTTCTGCTGCTCTGGTGTTCAGGGGTTTATGGTTTATGCTCCTGTATTAACATATGGTCGAATTATTTACTATTTCACTCTGGAGTTCAGGGGTTTATGCTCCCGTATTAACATATGGTCGAATTATTTACTATTTCACTTGGTTATGAGTGTAGGTACGAAGGGGATCCTTCTTCACTCAGATTTATTGTCAGATTAAAACTGGTCTCAGAGAAACTTTTGCTTGGATTCAGCTCAACCTCAGTGTCACTATTTAATTTCCTCTTTTTATTCTTTCCCATCTCCGCTCCACCTATTTCATCCTTCCCCGTTACCTTATAGGACGCTAAAATGTGATAAAGGCGAGAGGCTCTCGAAATCTCGCGAATTTAACCGACCAAAGATGCGAGCGAGTTGACCCACTCGTTCTTTTCTGCGAAAGCAAAAGGCAGAGAGCTTTTAGCCTTCATCCGTCGCCATCTCTTACTCGACGAAGGCTGGTGGCGAGCGATTTTGGGTCGGCATGGACTCTAAGCTCATCAAACCGCTTTTTTTTGAGTCTTCAGGGGCTACACAAGGTTTTGGATCAATTACTTGAAGGAAGTAGTTCAACAATCTGAAGATGGTCCTATACTCAAATCGCTTACTATAAGAGCGACGTGTGTAAGTTGGAAGAACACCCCTATAGATCCGTGACTTGATACTATCCCCATCAACACTCAGAACGATGACTCCGTCTTGAACTTGCCCTGATGGGGGCCGTAACGTCAACATTGTCTGCCCCTCATCAGTCATTGTACAGACCGGTATCCATTCCAATGTCTCATTTATTAATTGAGAGTCGCTTGGTTGGCGTGCCCGACAGTCAGCCTCTCACTGTTTCTGATCATTGCTAATAGCAGGTGAAAAAATGTCATTTTAGAATGGTCCCCTCTCTCCTGCACATTCTTCCTACCTAAGCAATAAAACGGTCGTTTTAGAATGGTTCCAT